ACAGAATATATACATTAACAAACTTCACTAAAGTACTCATAATGTTCAATACGTAATGTTAACCTCCTTGAGATATGCTACCACTTACAACAACTGTCGAAACAAAGACTTTAATTAACAAACTTCACTCAAGTACAGTTCAATATATATATATCAGTAGCGCATATCTTTCGTTTATCTACGCTTTTAGTCTAAAAAATACGATTATGCGAGCAAATATTGATGTTGTGGTGCAAAGTAAGAAAATTTGCGAATTTAGGGCAAGAAAAGTTCAAAAGCTTGTTCTAAGTAACAAAGATAAATAGCCTATCACAGTATTAAAAAACCGCAACTGACTGACAGCTCACCAGGAATAAATCGTTTAAAGTTTTCTTTTAAAAGGTTAGCTGTATTTTATTATGTACTTTGACTCGTATATCTCTCATGTAATGTGTTGATTTCATTTCTGTCTCACACTAATAAGTAAACTCTTCAATACTCTATAGTTTTTATTTTTTAGTAGTGTAATTTAGTAATTAATAAAACAGTTACTTACTTACTCCCTTACAAATCTATGTAATATATTTAACGATATGTTTGAATGACTCAGTTTAACCCTAGAATGATATTTGTTTTAGAATTATATTATTCCAATTGCCAACCAACATCCTCCCATCAAATTGACAGTTGAACTGAAATATACTAATTTTACTGCGTTTACCTCTATTTGACTGTCCCGTCTTCAAACTAAAGAGATGAACTGAGCTAATCTGGTTCTGTTGTGTTTAACTCTTTTCAAAACTCACCATCAAGAACATCTAAACTATCGTTAAAAATATGATACTGAGCTCCATAATGATTTTTACTTTTTTTAAGTTTATGATACAAATCGAAGATTAGTACATAATCAGTACAAATATCTGGATTATCAACTAACACCAACTGCCTTGATAAATGTAAAAATGTAAACTAAATGCTAAAACCTATAATGATGTCATATGAAAATATTTGTTGTAACTGATGACACGACCTTGTATATTACAGATTCCGCCAAAAAAGAAAGGAAAAAAAGGACATTTTGTTAAGAAATAGCTTTTGGCGTGTTTACCTTTTTCGATTACGGACTTCAATAGAAAATTTCTTTTGCTTGAAATAGATGTTTTCTAGCTTCTCCCAGGGAAAGAACTGTAAAAAATAAGATTTTTCCTCTAAATGTTTGCATTGCTTACTGCAGTTAATGTTAGCCACGGAGCTTTCCTACTTGTACTTTATCCATCTCTTGCTAACTATAATAAACGAGATCTTCTCACTTTTACCGTAAATACGTTAAGATAACAATACCTTTCACTATAAATATGAAAACAAACAAGAATTTATAACCCACAGCATGTTTATTTATATGAAAAAAAATTAGTTTTCTTTATTGATATACTAAAACCTAAAAACCCGCTGTGCCTTCTTCGTGGAACCTTAAAGAAAATACTTTAGTTGATGATATTCATCTCGAACATTAAGTTCCACTCTAATACAACAGTGACGAAATTTTCATGGCATTTCGAAGGCCTTTAAACACACCAACAACAGGTCTTAAGTAGTCTGTTCTGTGTAACTAGAGTTACACCTAGGTGTTTATGGAGTAGTTGTACCAAGTAAAGCTAAAGATGAGTATGGTGGTTATAAATTCCGTAAATAGAGTTACACCTAGGTGTTTATGGAGTAGTTGTTCCAAGTAAAGCTACAGATGAGTATGGTGGTTATAAATACTGTAACTAGAGTTAACCTAGGTGTTCATGGAGTAGTTGTGCCCATTAAGGCTAAATATGAGTATGGTGGTTATAAATTCCGTAACTAGAGTTACACCTAGGTGTTCATGGAGT